TATAGCAGTTTGCATAGAAAGAAAAAATATAAAAAAAGCTTAAATAACAAGTTTTTGGCAGTTAAATAATAGCAGTCAAATAGACATACATTTTATCTAAGAAATAAAGAAAGATTTTTGATGACAGCACTCATGTTTTGAAATGACATGCTTATAAAGCAGTAGCGTTAATTCACGAATTAAGGTGTGTTTTATCAATAATTGAAAACCAATTTTCTTTTATAGTGCACAAATGTAAGATTTGTTCAATAAAATAGTTACACGTGTGTGTAAAGATAAAAACTTCTATCTTACAATGGTGAACATTGATGAGCTATTGATGAATACAACATGTTTTTAAGAGCTCTTAATTGTTGTTAATTGATTAATTTTCTTGAATAAACGCATGCTCTGGAATGCTCAGTTATGTCAATTCCTTTAGCACAATATTTAAAAAACTGTTTTAATATAAGACAGCAGCATCTCATAGACTAAGCCAGTAACACATTACTTGTATACAAATTTTTATCAATTTTATTTTTCAATACAAATTTCAGTATTTATATTTGTAACTTTCAATATATATTTTTTTTCTAATAACTTTGTTTTACGTTACTTTACATTTCATGTTGTCATTTTTCTTTTACTAATATCTGATTTGTAACCCTTTTCATCCCCTCCAGGGGAAGCTATGTGTTAATGAATAAATAAATATCTATATTTTCATGTTTACTGAAATGATAAGCAATTGTGTAGCGGTGAATGTGGCGACAAAATGCAATTTGTAACGTGTTTTAATGATTGCTTCTTGCAGCGGGTCCATGCCATAGGTGATACCAACATACCTCCTCATTATGCCGCTTGACAAGTTCTTCCTTACTCTTTTTAATCTTCTGAAGACATTCTTCTTGAAACTTCTTGATTCTCTCTTTGCTAGTTCTCGTGACCTCAAAGAGTTCTTCTCGGGAAGACAGTGTTACCTGCAAGCAATAAACACAATATAAAAGGTCTCACTGGTGTAATTAGGATTATATTCTGGGACTGTGAAGAGCACGTAAGGACCAAGATATCTGTCGTATCTCCAGGCTCATTTCAAATCATCAAAAGCTTTCGATATTACGTTCAACTTTGACACCCACACCTCCTTTGAGAAATTTTGTTTCTCTTTTGAATGCCGACAAATGTAAAATAAGCAAGTAAATTAAACCGGTAGCATGCTTTCGTACATACATGTGAGCACACAGACACACAACTACAATAAAAACGCTTCTTTCACGAGTGTGAAAAACAAACTGAAAAACAGTTCAAAGCTCAGTCAGCCACAATGAAAAGTTGTGAAGTGGAAACAAACATACACAGAGCACCTGCAAAAGAAATATACACATTCAACAGGAAAAGTTGGCAATAACTAATGCCGTACTTTATTGCCACTCTCATTAACAATTCATGAGAATGGCACCTGTGTTCAAATTGTTTCACACAGTTTCCATGGCAACAATGCTTTACTAACTATCTGGGAGAAAGCATTAATTAGGGAAAAAATGCGAAAAGTATTGTTGTAGTACTATGACTTGGGCAAGTTATTAACTCTAGAGTGAAAACAACATTGTGTGTTCACCACCAATACAATTGCACATTAAGCGGTAAATATATAAGGGTTATGGGATGAACAGAAAGTATTAATGGTGGATCAAACAAGAATACCAAATTTCATCTTAGATTCAAGACAAGGAAAGGTGTTGAGTAGAAACCATGTGCCAAAAAACCAAAGAAAATCTAGAGTAATTTCTTGTCTGAAAAGATAGCCCAGAGCGTAATTTGTGTTATAGACGATGATGTTTAGGTAATAAGTGACAGCACAACAAATACACGGAATTTGATTTGAACCAATATATAGACATGCTTACAAGTACAGTAAAACAGAACAAGAGTATTAATACGCTGTGGCATTGGAGAAAACATTTTAAAACAAATAACCAATTTAGATTTACACATCTCTACTTGGCAACCAATAACTTGAGGACATTAGAAAATAAGACGAGAACTTAAAATGACCACGTAAAAAGAAAAAAAAAACATGAATTTTAGATTTTGTCATTACAATTATTTAATTGGGCCTGAGTTCATGAATTTTGCACAAGTTTGTGAAAGCAAGTCATCAATCAAGCGAGGGAAAATTGCGGTGGCAATACACTGGAGTTGGCGGTAATTGCGTGTGCGCCGAGTGCATTTTTTGACTTTAATTGATGTCACTCTAATCACACTGATGTATTTGACTGCACACTTCAATTGTTTCCTCGTGGCCAAAGAGAGAAGGAAAACTCAAGGCAGAAGAAGAATACGCAACAAAGTCATTGCACATAGTCTAATATTACAACGCGAGAGAATTGAGTGACTGAAATGGAAGAGTTAAAAGACGAAACACTTGCGGTTTTGCTGTATCCTGAGCCCAACTGTGGTTTACTGTTTAATGTTTGGACATTCCATCACTGCGGGAAAGGGCGGTATCACTGTCAAATTTCTTGTTAAATCCAATTCATGCACATTTGATCCTTGCAGCATCAAGATTGTACAGCATGGCAAACAGAAATGAGAAGTACATGTGGTGGTTACACTGCAGGGAACACGTATAAACACTAGGAGATTAGATATCCTACAATGAACAACTTTAATAGCAAAAAAGTGGGTATAAACTACCAAATTTGATAAATCCCTCAATTGATTACGTTTTTTAACAAGCTACTACAAGCATGGTTCAAAGAAATAATATTAAAATATTATAAGTTGAATTTTAATTATCATATGATTCATGTTTAACTTAATTTTTTCCCTTTAATATTGCCGCAGGAACCTGAGAGAGTACTGAATCGTCTGATTTTGAAGCAACGTTACGTACACATGACTTAACACTACGATCTACTTTAACGCATACCTCAGATTCGCTCTGCTTGTTTTAATGGAATATTAATTTCAAAATCAAATCAAGTTGTTTAGCACAAAATAATTAGTCATGAAAAAGAAAACATGCATCAGTTCATTCCAATCCGAACATGACCTTTTGAATTGCTGCTCCCATGTCCATGCAGTTAATAATAAAAAAAAAACAGATATTGTTTTCTATATATTAAAAAAATTATATTATTAGTTTATATGTGATTTATTACCAGTGCATACACTTTACGTAAATGACTGATATTAGTCAGTGGTTGAAATAAATAATATTGTCATAATCTAGCATACAATATTACGTGATTTAACTCAAAATTATGCCGAAGACAGAATTGAATTATTAGCGATAAATAAACAGTATGCTTATCATTTTATTATCAGCGAAATGATGTAAATTCGGTCGGCAGATCATAACATTGAAAAAATATAAGAAACTTTTAATACATACGTACATACATACAAAAGCAACAAATTAGCTAATTAATTACCGGTAATAACTGCCACTTTTCACAAAATAAACTTATAATTATTTTTCAATGATTTTGATCAAGAGCAGTAGTGAGTGGGAAATTATTTTCATTTGGTCTGAAATTGACAAAAAAAAATTATTAAAAAAAATAAAAACAGCAGAATATTGCAACAAAAGTTTGGTGACAAAAATTTTGGATTCAAAGGATTATTAAAATTAGATAAAATTACCAAAAAAATGAATTCAGATACATGCAAATAAACCTTATATCCTAAAATTCACTTTAAGAACGGAGCAAAATATTCTAATTTGCAAATAATTTATTCAATATGCAGAAACTTGCCAAAAATAATCAGAATCACCATATTATATAACAAACACTTTTTATAACAAAATTGGCTTTAGAGATTTTAGCAGAACAAATATGTAAAATTTGCAAATATACAATGTCATGACAACAACTCATACTCATCTAGTTCCTACTTCTCACTTAAAATACTTATAGCACACATTCCAATTAAGAACAATATATACAGAAGAATCATTGGAGGAAAGAAATAACTCACACATGGTATAAAGTCATATAAGATCTTTTAATTTTTGAGCTAGAAATCTTAAAGTAATACATGATTGCTTATAACAAATGACACATTGAGCGTGCAGGATAAAATGCATGACAGATGCATGAACTACAAAGTATGAGTTTAAGTGTTTAAACAAACTCATTTTTACCTTGACCTAATTAAAATAATTTAGTACACATTCATGATCTCCATATTCACCAATTACTGAGAGTATCAGTAACTTCAGTCCAGATTGTGATCGCAAATTACAACGAACGAGGCGAAGACATGTTGTGTCAATTTTAATCTAACGTCTTTCCCCTGAAATAACATCAAAGTATGCTCTGAGCATTTTAAAAATAGCTCAATATCTATGAAAAACCAGTAAATTAGCATTGATAAAAGGAATAACTATGTATAAAGTGATCATGCTATTTTTGATTGCAATAAAAACACTCTCAAAATTACCAGGAAAAAAGTCATTTGCACATTCTGAAAGTTTAATGTTTATAATGTAACCAAGTTTGCTTTGAGAGTTTATCAAAACATAATGAAATCAACGCTTAATTGCATCTACATTTAAGGTGCAAACACATCAATGACTTTGCCCCATGGGAATTATATGCAAGACTGGAGAAAAGAAATAACAATCAATAAACACATAGTACTGCATGATAACACCTCCTCTGTCTGGAGTTGAGAGTAATTAAAAATACCTTTGGCATAAACCCCAAACGTCACACTTTGTGAAATCATGGAGTATTTTGAGAAACGAAATAACTTCATATTTTAATTTTTCAGTGTCAACTTTTTTACTGACTAAATTAGATTCTGTGCAAATAAATAATAGGAGAATTAACTAACTTGGAATTTTTAATGCCAAAAAAAAAGCATGACTGATTAATAACTGCAAATTAACTATAAATCTTAATGCTAACACTACTCTAGGGACAGCAGGAAACACATAGGATGCATTCGAGATAATTTAAAATGTGGTGATTTCTTGCAAAATAAATGTTTTATGTTTTTTTGTAAGGGGATTTGACACAAGATTGAGTTCCAAGCAACAATAAAAAAAAATGTGAAAGTAGAGAAAACAATAATTTATTTTAATTGTATTTGCACTTTCATGGTCAGTTTAATTATATAAGTTGCATCACGACTAGCACTCAAATATCAATATCGCGGGAAAAAACACCTACTCCAACAAAAACAATTAAGAAAGCTCTATACGTAACTGAAATGATTTCACCTTTACACGCATTAAAGAATTTTACTAATAAACAAAATTTTAGTAGCGAGAACAGTTTTTACTGTTTCATTAGATCCAAGACAATGTGGTTCGATATAAAACCACTGATTAGACCACCCTGATATTTGCAAATTACATAAAAACGAAACAGCTGTCATAAAAATGGAAGTAAAAGTAAAATTAACTGAAACCTTTTTAGAGCCATAAAAAAATCCAACTCAGAGACATGTAATCACTGGCTTCACAATAAATGTATGTGATTTATGGTTAACAGCTTTGACAATGGTTTTATGATATTATTCGCATGTCTTTGGGTCATCGGTATTAATTAGATAATTTACAGCCTTCATTTCAATCTGGAAAGTGAACTACTCAGACACATAAATTCCAACTTGTCGAAAGACCACGTTTTGAACTATAAAACAAAATCCCAGTTGTTAATCCATATGTCTTTGCAATTATTAGAAGTCCAAAATTGGAGAAAAACTATTATAATTTTTGCTACCGGTACCTCTCTTCAACAGCGAACATTTGCACATCTGAACTATAGGTGTGTTGAACAAAGTCGTACATAATGAATATGTAAATCTGTCCGACTCAAGAAACGGAATCACAACTAATAAAGCTAATGTGAACAAAAAATGGAAATTTAATAAAGACTTTGACAATATTATAATGTTGAGAAGGAAAATATTTTTTTTTTCTTTTTAGAATTAATTAATGAATAAAAAAGTAAAATTGCATCAA